TGGAAGATGGAGCACGAGCTGTTGGGACGATAGAAATTAGGAGGAAGGGTTATTCTCTTGTTTATTGTCAAACGTGGCTCAGTGGTTTGGGAGCTGTTGGGGGTCGAGTGAAAAATTATAGCTTGACATACGTACGTAGAGTCGGTTCGGGCGTGCAACCGTGTCCCTTTTTTTTTTTTTTTTTTTGTAAGTATGGGTATACCTTGCGAGCTTTCAAATAAGAACGAAAGCGCATTTTCCAAGGACTTTACTCGATGCGAGACGAACGATATGCGCTCAACTTCGAGGTATACATCCCATTGTCTGTTTGTTGACGAACTTTCCACAATAGCTCTCGTGTCTCCGTATATGATCCATTCAAACGAGTAAAACTGATAATCAAGCGTCAAAAGTATATACCGTTCATTGTGAGTTGTGCCTCGTACGAGTGATTGTACGCATAAAGAAGTGCAAAGACGAAACCGAGTAAACAGTAGATGTTTCAAGAAGAGAGAGAGAGAGAGAGAGAGAGAGAGAGAACGAAACCGTGATACAAAGGGATACAACACACAAAGGAAAATCAGCGGAGGTATTGAAATTCAAAATCCACCGACGCACGTAGGTATACACACATTGGAATTACAAGGTGCTACGCGGAGAGAAAGGATACGCGAGCAAGCTGGGGAAGAGGGAGAAGACACCTGTTGGGCGAGTCCACGGGAGCCAGATGCGGGGAATAATAATTAGCACCGAGGGCTGGTGTACAAGAATGAGGGCTTATGAATATTTCAGCGTGCGTAGCCGGCTGCCAAAGGAAGCTCGACTAATCCGATTCGCGATGGAGATGGGGGGGAGGGGGAGAGGTGGGCTGGCACGTCCTGGTGCTCTAATCTTTCGCTGAGTATTTGCACGACCCTTGGAATCGCCGGCTAACTACCACGCCAAGTTCTCAGGGGGCGCAAAGTCACTGGGTATTGGCGACACGATTGGGAAAGACGCCCGTCATTCAACGTCGAGGTGTCATCGTATATGACATGTATTGAAAGCGACGAAATTACAAACAGTATATTGTAATATGTCCTATTTGAATGTTCAACTTAAATCTAAGACTTGCTTCATAAAGCATATGTTTTCTCGGCTTGGTTTACTTGTTATTTGCTTTTGCAACTTACGCGCTGTTCACTTTTTTACGGTTGATCTATTTTGTGATTAGCGCCGTTTCACCGACTGGCCTAATGAAATAAAATGAGCAAGAAGCTGTTGTTTATCTCTCGGTATACGCGAAAGATAAAAAAGTCACCTACGGAATCAAGTTTGTTACAAAACTTTAGACTTTGCTTTTTGACGAGATCCTTTAGTCGTGCAAAGGGAGGGAGAGAGACATGTCAAAAAGTTCGATAACTTTCCCAAGAAGAGCTCCCTGCCGACAACAACTAACAAACAAACAGGGGTTCGTTGGACACTGCTTTTATATAATAATGTTCGAGACTCTGCACGTCCTTCCTTTTCCGTGAAAAAAAATAAATATAGTCCTGAAATGACAATCACCTCGTGCTTTTTGTCCATACGTATAGTAATAAAGGAAAAGTGTCTTTGTTTGAGGAAACAAAATGTATTGCCAAGAAAAGAGAGAGAGAAAGGAACGACATCAGACGTGGGTTTGAAAAAGGAGAAAAATGGAGGGAGAAATGGTACGGGTGTGCATATACCGGGGGTCACAAAATAAAAGAGAAACGCAGTCGGAGGCAAACGGAATTTATCGGTAAGTCTGCATAATGATGTGCCAAGGTAACCCCTGGCACGGCTATGAGATTCCGAATCAATTTCTCTCCTTCTCTCTACTTAGCATCTGAAAACGTCCGAGACGACGACGGCGGCGAAGCGAACAAAAAATGAAGCCCACAGCAACGTCGTCTCTCGGTGAGCGCACACGACGCCTAGAAGAAAACGACAGTCGGACGGATGGGGACAAAATGACAGAGAACGAAGGCAAAAGAACCAGAGAAACGAGAGAAACGAGAGAGAGAGAAAGAGAGGGGCAGGGGGGGGGAAGAAAAAAGTCTTTTTAGGGGTCGTTGGCGTCAAGCGCCGGGCAAATCGAAAAAACATCAAAATTCTCGCCGCAAAAACTTTTTCACGTCGCTCAAGATGCACCCAGGCGGCACATCGCCCTGTCGTCCCTCCTCACCCCCAACCCCCTGGTTACCCCATTCTCCGCGTCGATGTAGGTACACGTAGTTATACACATATACATATATCCATATACGTGTGTACATTATCTCTCTAATGGCACAGATACGCACGCCACGGAATGATTTGGTTGATTTGGCTGCTCCACCCTGCCACCCCTTAGCCCGTGTGCCGCACCCCTACCGGTTGTCGTTGTTTCCCCACCCCCCGGGTATACGCGTGTCGGATAAGCTATCGCGTCGTCGTCGCTGCCGTGCCGTACATCTCCATGTACACATGTGTGATGTAGGCGCCAACCGATGCGATGATACGCCAAAAGCATTTTTCCTCTTCCCGAGCGTGCTGTGTGCTCCCCCGACCGCGTGACACTCCCAGGCATTTTCTCTCTCTCTCTCTCTCTTTCGCAGCTCATGAATATACACGCGACGCGCCGCCAGTTGCAGCACCCCCCCCATTCTGCATGACATGTGTGTGTGTGTGTGGATACAGGGCTGCTGGTGCTAGGAAAATGTATTTCGAAAAAAAGCATCGCCGCGTCGAGAGGGTGCTTTTCGCGAAACGAATCCTCGCGTCCTGATTGCTTCTGCCGTTGCGCGTGATTATTCCGATATTTATATTCAAATTACGATTTGCGGATTAAATTAATTCGACTTGCGATCGGGTTGCGGAAAAATAAAATCACGGTTGGGGGTGGTTTTTCAAGCATGTATTGGACAGTTGACGAGTGGGTGGATTAAGATTGGATTTTTTTTTTTTCTGTTAGTTGTTTTAACGAACATTGAACTGACATCTCGTCGTTATACCTGTATACCCTATGACTGTTAGAAATCACTGAAAAGGTCACCTGAAAAAACACGCATCGTTTGACCCCGCATGGAACTGATTCACAACAAAAAAAAAAAATAATAAAAAACTACAGCTTGGTGTGGAAAAAAAAAAAACGCGTTTGCAAGAAAAAGAGAGAGAACCTAAATGATCTAATGCATTCCCCCCCCCCCAAACGCACACGTGCGCGCGTGTCGGGAAATAGACAGAGGGGGTAAGCAGATATGCAGCACGCCAAAAGGGGGGAACACGAGCATTACGTTTTAGAAACTAGGTGGCTGGGGGGAGGGAGGGAAAAAAAAACAAAAAACAAAAAAAAAAAAAACAAGAGTCACGCGCAAAGAAAGAAAGAGAGAACAGTGATGACGATCTACGACGGTGGGAGAAGGGGTCAGTAGCACGTATAGAGAGCCGGCTATCGAAATAAGAAGAGGCACGCATATACACACACACATGTACCGAGAGCAGCGTTTTCAACCTCCTCCGCAGCGCGTAGGCGTTACGTGCTAGCGCCACGGCGAGCGAGCAAAGAAGTGACGAAGGGGGAGACCGTGTTTAACTCACGCACCCATGTAGAGGTGGGGGGGGGGGCACGAAAACTTGCCGCGTATCTTCGGGGCTTTCGAGCCGAAGGGAATTGGTTTAGTTTAGCGTTAGCCTCGCGGTAGAAGAGTCGCGTTCACACAACTCAGCCGTGGTACAGTTGTAGCGCGCCGAGCCTACTTTATTTATTTCCAACTCGTTCCGAGGGAGCAACCGCGCACACACGCACGCCTGGGAAAAATCGCGTTTTTATTTCCAGAGGAGCGTAAGAAGACCGAGTGATTCATCGCCCCCCCCCCGGAACTCTCCCGTGGGGTCCCCTCGAAGACTTGGCCCACGGAAAACTTTGCCGGCTGGTAGCCCTATATACCGCTCGGATTTGCGAAAATCTGCACAAAGTTAACGCAGTCGGAGCGAGGAGGGGAGAGAATCCCCGCAGACGGTGGACGGGAAAATAAGCGGAAACTGCTGCTGGAACAGCTCGCGGTTTTCGCCTCGGTTTCGTGCACGCGCACGTGATGTATAGGCACGCGCGGAGCAACCCCTATACATATATACACACATCCGGGGGTGCGTGCACGTGGGGGTGTTTCGTAAGTAGGATATAGGAGCAAAGTGCCAGAGGATCTTGGATTTACGTTTTAAAACTCGGCGAAAGTCCTGCACGTCTTGCCGCTGCTTCTCCTCCTCCGTGTACGTATGCGCTAATGATCGATACCGAGTTTGTCGACGGATTACACGGAAGGTACACACGAGGTAACTTTTGCGACAAGTTTGCTGTAGCAAGCGGAGCAAAGTAACGACGCCAGCTACGGAGGAGGAAAAAGGACATTCGTCATCAGGCTCTTTCGGCGCAGCTATCGGTCAAAGAGGGCCTTGGTGTTGAGAGCTGGTAAAAAAAGGCTCCGAAAAAACGAAAAAGTCCCAGCTGAATAAAAAGATAGGGGGACTAGTACGGGTGACGGGATAGCGGACGAGGCTGGGGGTACTGCGAAACGCCGCTCGGGACGGGGTCCATCTGCGACGCGTGGGAGGTCCCGAGCACGAGAGAGAGAAAAAAAAGGCACCGCAGCAGCCGGCTCGATCACAGGGACGCGCCGTTTTGATGTACCAACGAAGAGCACGTGCTCGGGCGCATCTGCAGCGTCAACTTGAAGGACGGCGGCAATATTCATCACAAGTGGAGCAGGAGGGGGACCAATTTCATGATTCGTGATAGTAAAAAAGAAGAGGACAGAGGAGAGTCGGACTGAATGGAGGGCGTTCATCAGGAGGAAACAAACGATCGGCCACCTCGACAAAAGTTCTGAAACTACCTCCACTATATGCGTCGGGCGCACTTCAATATCCGTTCAAAGGGACTAATATCGCGCGCCCGACAACTTCAGGGCGAAAGCACTACCACAGCAGTGCCAGCGATCGTTATGGTGGCGGTTGCGGCGGTGAAGGGCGGCTACCGACTGCCCCTTTTTTATCGCCACGCGATATTACCTCGGGCGCTCTCTATCGCGGATCTCGTTTCAAGCGAATCAAATTCGTAGTCGAGAGTGCTGGGCCACCTTTTTTTTTTTTACCCACCTGTATATACGTCCGAGTCGATAGTATCGGTGCATTTTGACGAGTGAAGTGTGACTTTAGTGAAGTTGAACTTCAAAGTGAACGTAGGATGTAAAAAATCTTCCAAGCCACTCGACTGTGAAACCAACGAGCCACACGGGCACACCACGTGGTGACAAACACACAACACAGCGATCATCCAAACAGGGGGACAAGAAAAAAAAGAGAGAAGGCAAGAGGAGGCTTTAATTTCCGATGTCGAGCGTCCCGATGAGCCTCTGGGGCAGCCGAGGTGGTGGCGCCGGTAATAATAGAAGCAGTTGGCGGTCGAGTCGCGTACGCCGGCAGCTGTGGGAGCCGGCCGCGAATCGACACTGACACCTGACGCTTCTCCGTTTTATCCATAGCAACACCCACCCACACGTTGTTGTTGTGCACAAAGGACACGCGGAAAAATGCGACGCACGTCGTGGCTTGTGTTTCTCCCGAGTCTGCTGACGCTGCTGGCGGACCGGAGCATCGGCTGGATCGACGACAACCTCCACGCAGGTGAGTCCATTCACACCGCGGTGTACTGTATAACTCCGTGGCTCCAGAAATGCCGGCGCGAGGGTGTTGTTTCGAGAATTTTGGTTTTTTTTCCAACCCATCGCTCCTCGCCCTATTGTGTACGAGCTTGGGTGGTAGGGGGGGGGGTCTTTTGTTGCTTGGGAGAAAAGGAGGAGTCGATAATGGGAGCGACAACGGTGTCGATGACACTTTGGCGGATTGACGCGCACCATGGCTGACTGACGGCTCGCGAGCCAGCTGTTATCTCGAACAACGGGCAGGATGGGCGCCTAGATCCGGGGGATGAATGATGGACGGTTTAAGGGTGGGATAAGGGAGATTCTGGGCTCTGTGAAGTAGTTTTCATCGCGACCTATCGTCAGCTTGTTATGCGATTTACCAAAGATTCTTGTAGGTGATTGTCGTTTGGACACACATGTTACCAAGTTAGTCGAGTCGTAGTGAAACTCGAAATTCCCTCGGCTCCACCATCTCTAGCTGGAGGACAAAAAACATGATTTAAGAAATCATCGTCCTACCGCCTACGTGTTTCATCTTGTTCTTTCCTTGTCGAGACCAAAAAAAAACGTCTCAATCACTCGAGCCCTTGTTGGCTGTGCTCTACCAAATGCTACGCATTTCACGGACACGTGGGTGTGAAAACGAACAAAAGAAAGGAAAAAAAAAAAAAAAAAAACTCAGCAGCCAGTGCGTGTCAGCTCGGAACCACGTGTTCAAGTAGATAAAAAATGTCACCCGTTGGGTTGTGCCATGAATCATGGTGTCGTTAAAAATGTTTGTCATTAAGATTGCCCTCTGGGCTCCCCTGAGGGTGTGCGAGGTTTTTATGTCTTCACCGAATCGGGGCCACTGGTGCATCTCCCTGCTGGGGCCCTGATTTAAGATTTCTTCGTAACACAAATGAGATTACCCTATTCGCGGGTGTAAAAGCCATGACTAACAACCTTAATGACTCCGCCTACTCTCCCCGTGACCAGAATAAAATATTTTCCGTAGAGTTTATTAATACTTCCTGAATCGTCGTCGCTGCCAAAGAAAAAAAGAAGAAACAACATCGAGTTATATCATCGGCATGAAAAGAAAAAAACAAAAAACAAAAAAACCGTTAACAACTGTTTACGAGCGCAAGCTCAAAACACCGCGAGCCATAAGTACATCGAGAAGGGAAACTGACGCTGCATCCACCAAGCTCGTACGTAGTAAATCGTTAAAACAAGCGAAATACGTTTTCTCAATTACTCACTCCCGCGAGCAGCAGTGTAGCAGTGAAAAATACTACTGGCTCTCCCTCGCCCCCGCTGAAAAAGGCTGAAAGCTCCGCGGACGTACAAAGAGAGTGGGAGAGAGGGGGAGGGATTGAAAAACAAGTTCCGGGCGCAAAAAGCACCGCGCGCGCGAGCTTCGCTTTTATTTACGGCTCTCTTTTCTCACCCCTCCCCCCTGCCCCTGAAACTTGGCTCATCAAATCGAACAGAGGCATTGATTATGAGAGTCGAGTAATCAAGGAGAGTGCCGTACCAATACCGCGGGGTTGCACGTGAAGGAGGAACATATCGGCGTGAATGGCCAAAGTTTCGGATGCGCGTGTGTACGTGTCGGAGACGAGGTGGCGACAACAACTGTGCGGCAGATCCTGCGTGCAGTGACGAGAGAAAGAGATATGGAACGGGGGGGTATAACGATACAGATGAGCTACCGGCGCTTGTGCATTCGTATATACAAAAGGGCGCGAGCGAAGGTGGCGCGGGAGTCGAATGGCCATTAGTTTGATTAATGGTCAGCGTGAGCTTTTTCACGCGTCAAAGCTCGTTTGCTCGCTGCGATTTGTCGATTTTTTTTTTAACCCCCCACGCTCCGATGGAAGGGCGCCCGATTCACGTAGCACCATCGGGATGTGCAAGACAAATAATTTCCGCGTGTCGACCCTCGGATTTATAGGTGTGTATAGTATAAGTATAGTATAAGTCTTTATTTCAGCCAGGGGGTACAACCACGTATGGCTTCGAGGGATTATTACAATGTATGTATTAAAATAAAATATAAACAATTAGTTAATACAAGTTAGTACGCAATTGAATAGATAAACTCATCAAAAATGTGGATACAATTGAGTTAACAATTAGTGTTTAAAAAGAAAGAACAAAAGAGAAAAATTAATGAAACAATTTCATTCAAAGATAAGAATTAGTAGTTTATAATCTAGACAGAAATCCGGTATTCAGTATTCCACTCACTCTTGTCTTGGTTTACGAGACACGCAAATAGGAAAGTTTTAAAGTTGTCGATTTTAGTTGGTTGAAATACATTTTGGTGCAGTTTATTTATAAATATAGGTGATTGAACAGAGAAGGATCGTCTCACGCATTCAGTTTTAGAGTAAGGTATAATGAGATGACCAGTGGGAAAGCGAGTGGACTTTCTAAGATCTGTATAATTAGAAGTTAACTGATATAGGGACCAAATATAGTGTGGTCGTTCATGAGCCAGTACCGAGTATGACTGGATGCCCAGAAAATAATCACGGTGGTGAGAAACGGAAAGCCAGTTTAACTGAATACGATAAGGGGTAACTCTAGATTGCCAGCCAATATTCCCATGGACGAAGCGGACACATCCGTTTAGGGCTCTGTGAAATTGAAGACTTGAGGTTGCAGTAATGCCGTGGTAGGCGACTGACATATAATGAAACAAAAGAAAAATAAGACTCTCGATAAGCTGCTTCCTCAATGAGAAAGATAGGGCGTGTTTACAATGTTTGATTGTATAAAGTGAGCGGAAGACATTAGCAGAGATGTGCCGAGCATGCCGCTCCCAGCCCAACGTAGAGTTCAACCACAATCCAAGATCCTTGACCTCAGTCATGTAAGGTAATGAGCCATTACCAACCATTATGGGTGGCAATCCCATTGACTCCAGCCGAGAGATGTTTGCCGCAACTACCAAGAAGCAAAGCAGACATTTTCAAGTAGTTAGGTTCCAACCCATTTTCAATTGCACAATCAGCCAGTGCCTGAGAGTCCCTGCTCGCATGCTCAGCTGCCTGGTGGATATCCTCAGGATAACATGAGAGGTACAGTTGGGTGTCATCAGCATATGACATATGGGCGCAGTGTTTTAGAACTCGTGAAAAATCGTTCACATACGTGGGAAAAAGCAAAGGACCAAGCGCACTGCCTTGAGGAACGCCGGTGAATGAGGGACGCCAGTCAGACATGACCTCTGCATCACCTTTGACTGCTTGTCGGCGACAATGCAGGTAACTGAAGAACCAATTCAGTGCAGAGTCACTGCAGTTTAGGTCACGTAGCTTTTCAAGCAAGCGAGCATGAGGTATCCTGTCAAAGGCCTTCCTATAGTCAAACAGGACAAGAATTGTCACTTTACGACTGTCAATCGCCAACCTCGCGTCATCTATAATTCGAAGCATAGCTGTTTGAGGACTATGACCCCTTGTGTGTGTGTGTGTGTGTATGGGTATACGCGAGGGGTGTTATAATGGGGTTAGACGCGGAGTGCGTGCATGCGTGGAAACGTTGGATCTAATGGTCGCGGTGACTATATTGATTGACTTGCTTCGATCCCGACCTGTACCCAAATTGCACGTGAAACCATGCCAACTTTACGCTATTTGCCACTGATGCATGGCGCCGATCTACTTGCCTCGTGGTGCGTAAGTTTTATCAACCGAGTACTCGATTGTCCGTGCATATTTTGTTTTCCTCGTTTTCCGATTTTCCAAAATCGTTTGGATGGCCGATTAGCGGAATCGCGTAAAAAACACCAAATAGTGCCTTTCGAGCGAATCGTCCCGAAAATATTTCCGAGAAAGCAGAGGAACCGGTTGCTCGAGATTACTGTAATTACGATGATTCACGGCTATGGATTACACAGAGCTACGATCGGATGCATGAATGGGTCGGGGCGCCGTCCTTTGCAGTGCAGACACGTGTATTTATATAAGCGCGCGCGCTGCCCAAAATCGTGAGCTGGAAATAGGAGGAGCGAAATGTGTCCCATTTCACGAGCGCCCGCGTATATTTATAGAAACGACGAGCGGCGGGAGGGAGAAAAAGAGGAGGAAGCGCGTATATACGCAAGATCTCCGGACGCTGTTCGACGAAGGTCGATTTCTCTCCCAACGTGTTTCACGGATATTGTACACACGTATCCATAAACGCAATCACGGAAGAATGTTGAGAGGCCTCCGCACGCGGGTCGAGAGAGCTTTTATTGTAACGCGCGGGGCTTACTTTCGTTTGATCTATTTTGGTCGCGCGATTTTCCCACCCCCGCTTTTTGGACGTTTGACGCGGCATTTGTCACGTGATGATACTCAAAGACGCTGATTTATCGATGATGCGAGAAAAGGGGGACAAATAAAGTGGCAAATGAGCGAGGGAACGGTATAGCTTGTAAAAATTTCGGTGTGGAAATATATATATTACGGCATCCATCGCGTTATTAATACACGATTACGAGCTTCTATTTCGATCCACAAGCTCGTACCCTTTTTTTCGATACTCGTCGATTTCCAAAGAGTCATGGGAATACAAAACACGCGCGGATCCGTCAAGTTGGAGACAAAAACCACTTATTTTCCAATCTCCACTGTCAAATTTCAAATTATTGTTGTGATTAATCTTTATATTACTAATGTCCAGCTTCCGTCCCGTGGACTCGAAAACATATAATCTCGAAAAGGTTGGGAAAACCATAAAATTTTCCGGAGAACGAGTAACCCCTCGTTTCCAATAACGTGCAAGCACAACATCCGCTTTGCAAAAAAATACACGAGAATAGGGGTCCCACGTATACACACACATCGACAAGTTCTTTTACAAAAAAGTACGCACCCACGCAGAGATACAGAGGCGTAAAAAGAGTACGACCAATGTATAGCCTCCTGGTTAATAAATTCGTGCTTTGGAGCTTTTTTCGCGCTGGCTATCTCGGCCAAGCCATGAAAACTCTCTTGTTTA